CCAAGGCATGCGTACACAATGTTAAAGTCCTATGTACGAGGGGCGTTTCGGGGGGAGGGGGGGTCAATTTTTAGACAAATTTTTGCGTACGTACTTATTGAATGGCCCCTTAATGACCATATTGATTAAATGTTACAAACCGGTGCACATGCAGTTTGATTTTGATTAAATAATATCATCAAAGTGTCATACAACTATTGAATAAGGACCTTAATAAATTATATTTATATTTATCGTTTACATTTTATAAAATGATGCTATTTAGGCACCAAATGCACCAAAATGTTGTATTTTCTAGAATTTAGATAGTTATATAAGAGTATAATTTTTATCTATTACAGAATATGTTACCGATAATAATAAATAGTACGGTAATACTGTACTTAAATAAATAAATTTAATATTTAAAAGCATTTACAAATCAGACAGTTAAACAGTAACCTGTTACAATAGCATACATAGAATAAGCATAAGTTATAATTCAATATGAATCAAAATTAATAATTAATTTCAAAAATACAAATCGTAAACAAATCATAAATTAATTCAGAAATAAACTGTTTATTCTTCAGGGATGTGGTCATCGGTGGTCAGTATTTTCAGTATAAGAATCGCTTTCTTAGCGGCAATTCGTTTGCCTTCGTAAAACTCGTGATCACTCGCACCGGTAGTCGCGATCAACGTATACTCCATGCGCTCAATAACCACTTTAATCACCACATAATACATCCCATTAATAATCTGTTCATCACAAACGACACGACAGGCCAATAGACTCGCCATTTGAACCAATTTATCGAAAAAGTCTAGACTTTTGTCCAAAAAATACTTATTTAACTTTGACTTCACATCTGATCCGATGCTTAAGAGATATGTCAGCAATTGATTAGATGGTGCGGACAGGGAGTGCTGTTTAGTACCATTACTGATAGGTTTCCTCAACAGCGCCACCATTTCCTGAGCCGACATATTTTTAGCCAACTTTTTCGTCGATCCCTTTCCTTCGGTAACCAATTGGCGGCCATTGACTGTCATATGACACTCGATGGTGAAGACGGGGTTGTGGTCCGTACCTGTCCTATCAGTAAACTTATAGTCCGGTGCCGTATAACTGTGTTTAACACACAGCTCCTGAAGAATGCCAATAGAATTATCACTGACTATGTGTTCGTTAAGTCCCTCAGTCTTAGGATCAGATAAAGTCCCCTCTAAGCCATTGTCCACAGATATGCCATAGTCTTCACGGATAACCTCTTTCTTAGGTTCAATACGATTGGGACTACTGTTCAAGAGTTTGACCATCTCTTGAGCGGATCTATTTTTGGCCAACTTTTTAGTCAAAGCCGCGCTTTCGGTGACCAATTCGTGTCCATTGATAGTCAATTGGCACTGAATGGTGAACCTCGGCTGGTGTGCGATACCAGTCCTCTTAGTCTCTGTATAGACTGGTAGTGGGAAATGGCGTTTGGTACACATTTCCTGCAGATAACCAATTGAATTAACATTGTCTTCGTATTGACCACAATCTTCCGGTTTGTGTTCATCAAAGACCTCCACTTTGAAGCCATTCTTCACAGATGTTGGCACTTTGGGCACGGGATCTTCATTATGATAACTGCCATTCCTCAACAGTTTGACCATTTCTTGAGCGGACATATTCTTCGCCGACTTCTTTGATGATGCCTTTCCCTCGGCAGTCGATTGTCTGCCATTAATAGTGACCACACACTGGACGGTGAAGATTGGCTCGTGATCCTCACCCGACCTATTGGTGTCCGTATAGACGGGCAGAGAGTAACCCTGTTTAGAGCATAACTCCTGAAGAATACCGATTGAGTTCTCATGAATGGGCACGTCTTGTGGCACCGGATCTGTCTGATTAGTATTCAATTGATTCATATCTGTCTGCAGATCCGCGTCTATACTCTTGTCGAGCGCTTCTTTGGCCGCTTTATTCCTCGAGTCGACAATAGTGTCACCGAAAGCTGACTCAGAGATGTCTTGTAGGCCGTCCGACCTCTTGATGGTAATTGTGGTCAAATACCCCAAGCCCTCCATGTTATCCAAACCCGTGGCCATGGATATGGTTTGGTGTCCGTTGAGTTTGCAATACTCGTCCAGTTTTGTCACATAATTGTCACACATTTTGTTGACTATTCAATGATTTGACGTCAAATAAGAATTCAAATGAAATAAATGTTTAGGAAATCACAAATGAATGAGAAATGCAAACCACTCTTACTTTTAAAGTTTAAAAGTTACGCCAAATGTGAAGTGCTGTCACTAAAAAATAGTTTATAAAAAATGAGAAATTTTATAATACAGTAGTTTTATGAAACAAAACTACAGTCTATTCTATACTGTCAAATGAGGCTACTTTGACGGTATTTCATAGGAATGTTATCAGATAAATGTTATCAAGATTAGCCACTTGTTATTTGCCCTTGTTATTTACTTAAAACCCCTTTTATCACTTAAGTAAAAGTATTTTGGTTGCAATTTCTTGATATTTTAATAGTAATATGAAATCATAATGCATAATGAATCATATTAATTGTTTTCAATAAAATATGGATTGCATATTTATAACACCTTTATTCCTAATAACTTATTAATAATAAATTTTATTTATACCGTATATTATTAAGAGATATTTATATTAGTAATATAATACAGTTAATTTATCTTTGAATTTCTAATTTCAAACAAGTAATAAAATAATCAAGTGATGTAATTACATATTTAACAAATAAAACAATTAAAATATTTGTATTACTAGTATTATTAGTAATATATAACAAAAATATTCAAAACAATTTTAACAAAACAATTATAAAAATCAAACATTATATAAAACCCTGAATTATCAAACCAAACGTAAATAGTTTACTAATCTTATTATGCAATCAATGGTTTGAAAATTGAGTGCAAATGTCAAGGGATTCACTCAAAGGCCTCGAGGGAGACATTTGCGGCGACGTGTCCGCCGTCGGACACCAAATGAATTCCCGTCACAAACGAGCTATCATTTGACGCCAAATACAGTATATTGTTGGCGATGTCCACCCCCTCGCCCGCCCGACCCACCGGGTATTTGGACGCAAAATCATCCCATATATGATCGGACACATCCTGTGGCGCGCCGGTGGCCACTATGATGTTGGTGCGAACGGCTCCGGGACTACACACGCATACAAACATTGAATATTAATTATCTAAATGTAATCAAGATAAATGAATTGATTTCTACGTTTACATACTTAACAGTATTGACACGAATGCCTTTCGGTCCCAACTCTGCGGCAATACATTTGGAAAACATGTCGAGCGCTGCCTTTGACGCACAATAAGCGGCAGCCTTTGGCACCTGTATGTCAGTTCATAAAATATTTATTATTTAATGTGACCAGGTAATTTATTCAGAATTAAACGATGTGAATTTTCTTAAATGAAAATGATATTTTATAAAATACAGACTCACCCCTAAAATGCTGGCAATACTCGAGACGTTAATGATATTGCCTTTAGTTTTCTCCAAATGTTTGACACAAATGTGTGTCAAATATACGACAGAATTCAGGTTTGTCTCCAAAACCCATTTGTATTTCTTGAAGAAATGGTCGTCCGAGAGGTCACTGTTTTGATTGGCGCCGGCATTGTTCANCAGAATTCAGGTTTGTCTCCAAAACCCATTTGTATTTCTTGAAGAAATGGTCGTCCGAGAGGTCACTGTTTTGATTGGCGCCGGCATTGTTCACCAGAATATCAATCTTCGCAAACGTCTTGACAGTGGTGTCGACCAATTGTTGCAGATCTTCCTCTTTGGTCACATCCGCCACCACTTCCAGTGCTTTCAATCCTTTTGGCGATACAGTGGCGCACTGTTTGGCCACATCTGACACTTTGCTGGCATTACGTCCCGTCACCACTACATTAGCACCAGATTTAGCAAACAATATAGCCGTGGCCGCACCTATGCCTGAGCTGGACCCGGTGACCAGGGCTACTTTGCCAGTGAAGTCAAACGATAGAGACATTTCACTAAATAAGCACTAAATTGGCGTTAAAAAGTAACACTTCCTAACTTTTATTTGAATTTATATAAAATGTTTGATAATTATTAATAGTTACAAAACTGCACTAAATCCGCACTAAAAAATAGCACTTTTTAACTTTTATATGAATTTATTTTAAATGTTGAATATTTATTAATAGTTACAAAACTAAGCACTTAACTTATAAGGGAATTTGATAATTAGTACAATTTACTTTATATATAATTACATGGTGTTTTAAATAAACAAATAATTTACATTTTAAATGTGTCCAGTATTGATATCTTATTATGATAATTTAAATTTTATAAAACTATTAAAATGTGGAGGGCTAAATTTATTAAGTAGATATATTTTTATTTATTAATAGCAGGAATATATTGTACTATTTCCAAGGACATTTAAAGTGCATTTTACAAAATCCACTTTAAATGAAAGTATTTATATAATCTGTATAAAGAAATCAAGGATTAATACTGTATTGTAATGAGAATTCAATAGTGATTGTTAAGTGATGCCCTTGGTTATCTATGTACTGTACTAACAATACAGTGTATGACACTTTTGGTTACCTCAAAATTAACTGATTATACAATTAACTGCATAAAAATTACAATAACGATATACAATATACAACAAACAAAACAATATAAAAAATTTATCATTTAAATTTTAATTAAATCAAAATAAAATTTACACAGAGTTTACAATTCAGAAATAATTAATACTGGTAAGCTTTAATTAACATTAGTATTGACAAAACATTATATTAAAATTAATGATTCAATACTTACAATGCAATAAAAATTGAAAACTAACAAAAATCTAAACAACGGAAATATGAGGACAACATAAAAAATCATGTCATTCCTCATTATAAACCTTGATGTGTCTCTACTGAAGCCATGCTTCATGGCACCCGTACCCCTGGGTTCAGATTTTCGGCCGTTTTTCTGGTTTTCGTACGAATCCCTATCGCATACACATTTACCACTAGTTTGATCGCACCGGCGGTCCATATCGTAAAACATTTGACACTCTTTGTCTGCAGTGCACGTAAACATCTCGCAAACAGAGGTGATTGGGTTGGGCTTGTAGTTGACATCGCACCGGCAGTTGCCATGAATGCACCGGTGGTTAGGGTACTCATTGCAGTCACTGTCCACATCGCACTTGGGATTGATTTTCATACATTTCTCGTCGTTGTGTAGATTGGGCTCAAAACCAGGTCTATATTTGAATGATTAAAAACAATGGATATATTAGATGGAAAATAAATGAACACCATTTTTGATTGGATTATGAAGGGCATTAAACATTATTGCGAATTATGCAAAAATTAATATATTGTATTAGTAACTATTGTACTTTTATGAAAAAATTCAAAAGTTTAGAAAACTTATAGGTTGTTCACGTAATTTACAGTATAAGTTCATCCAGACAGGCAATCCAATTATATAAAATCAAATAATATAAATTTTTACACATACAGTAAGTACTTTACTCCCAATTAATAATTAATAGTTATTCTATAATAATCAATGGTTACAATACCTGCACCGACATGTGTATTCAACACAAATACTCACATGGTCAAATTGCTGACATGTAATGTTTGAATAAGAATTTTTTGAATCACACGATTGGGTGGACGCACTGTATTGATAATTGGGCGCACATTTGCACACATTGTCCACAAACCAGGTTTGCATCCTCTGTCATACAGTTGTTATTTGACTCACAAAAGGCATTATAGCTATGATTTTTACAGCTTATCAACATAAAGTTGATCATGCTAATTAGTAATATAAATACAACCTGTCTCACTAAATTCATTTTTGTTTAAGATCAATTAAGTTATCTAAATTTTAAACTATCTAAGGTAAATTAGTAAAACAATGTAATTACATTTGTAAAATAATAAGAATTTTCAATATTTAAAGTAATTTTTTGTGATATTTCAATTAAAACCTAAATGTGAACAAATATTGTTGAGTTTATATATTCACTTGATTAAATAATATATTATGTAATAAAGTTACAAATATAAGTAAATACAGAAGTTTATTATAAAAATACTGTAAAATGTAATTTACTTTTTATAACTTTGAATTATTTTTATATAATAAAATATGAAGTTTGAAAGGTACAATATAAAATTAAATGTTTAAAGTTTTATAAACCATTTCTATATTCGATTCTAACATTATAAGATGTAATATTACACAAAAAGTACAATATTAAATTAAACATTTTTTTCCTGTCAACTATTTTATATAAAACTGTATGACATGTGGTTTTTGATTGTAAGACATAGTTTCCGAAACATATGAAAATCTTTTACAACACATCATAACTGCAGTAATCCTTAACCAAATGTCACCATAAATGGCTTATTATAGCGAAAATAACGACTCGCATGACCACCAGTCGGGACAGTATGCCTGTGGATTGGGTTCGTGGCGTCCCAAATGGCTCCAGAGGTGGGCCACGGCTAAGATGTTTATATTGCTGTTGGCAATGCTGACCACACTTCAGGGTTCGGC